GGGGGGGGGCAGGGAGGGGGAAAGCAGGACAAGAAAATACACAACCTTAAGTAGAGGAAGAACAGCAGCCTGTGTTCAGGATGGAAGAACAGCATATGCCAAGACACAGCCTGTTCAGGGACATTGCTACCATGTCATTTCTGTTGTATGCTTCTGGAAACTGCTCTGCAGAGTCCTGCTCCGCTGTGGTCCCTCTTCGTATCAGTTCCACTGATTTTGATTAATCAGGCAAGATTAAAATCAGGTAGCCACAGGGCTAGGTGGAAAGCATCTCAGAATACAGTGAAACCAAACTGTCCACCCCACCTGTAGGGACATCTGCTTCTCCCCAACTCAGCTGGGGCCCAAGGGGAAGAGATAAGAGTAGCAACTGCTACAACTTCACCTGAAGGAAGAGAAGGGAGAATCCTTACTTGTTCTGGTGATCGGAAAGAGCAGCTTTAGGTTTTGGGAAACAGAAACCTGGAAGAAGCAAGAACCAATATACTGTGATCTAGTTAATAGCCCCAGTAAGACTCATCTTCATTAGGAAAGGACTACGAGACTGACGAGACCCCCAGGGGTCACACTGACGAATTGCAGAAGCAGTGGTGATTGCCCACTGGGATGGGTGGCTGTACATCTCAGCATCATGAGAGTTGACAATTTCTTGAGGTTACAGTCCAGAGCTGACAAACGTCAAGACAACTCCTTGCTTTAGCCCATCAGTAAATGGTCCCTACACTATCAGCTCTCCATAGCTGACAAACTCAAGCACTGCTGCTCTGAATACCACTGTTACTAAAGCATTACTATGACTTGAGAGCTCCTGCCTGAAGGGTCCAGTTGTATACAAGCACTTAGTATGACAGGGGAACATTTCAAACATTCTTCTCAGTGAGGTCATTAAAATGGAGAGAAACTTCCATTGTAGTTACAGAGTCAGAAGACAGAGTGGTCCGAGAAGCAAGCTAGCTGGTACAGAGCAGGTCATACCATTTCACTGCTCCATGCTTCAACTTTCACAGCTATCAAACACAGAGGACAGAAGCTGTCCTCTATAAAGCTTATATAAATCTACAGATGGAAATTGCAAAGAAAAGCTAGGGCTTATTATGCAAAGATCCTACCCTACCACATAGGGCTACTTCAACAACAGTCCTTTTGACCCAAAGACAAGACACTCCTTTCTTCTATACAAAGTTCTTTCTCCCAGTTAGGGCTGCCTTTGGATATTTTGCAGAGTACAGAACAGTAGGTTTTCAACAGCCTGCAGGATCTTTAAATGTTACTATTTGCTAAAGAGAGATCACTGAATTATATTTGCTCTGACTCAGGCTGCCATAGGGCGAAGGGAGAGCTCCATCCATTATGCATGTCCAATAAAACATCACACAAGTGAGAGAAAATAATAGATGCAAAACAGCAGGTGAGCCTCCTGCTCCTATCCTAATAAGCTGAGTTAGGCAAGGGGCAAGCTGAGATGGGGAAAAGCAGAACACCAGTGGAAAGGTTCCTGCCTGGACCTTTGCATATGAGCAGCCTGGGTGAGCAATGGCCTTTTCCAGACTCCGCATATCAGCAAGCGGAATATCACCTCCACTCCACCTCTTTCAGTTGTGCAGGCCTCAAAATAGCATGGCACTCTCCACAACAAGAAGGAAGTGTGGCATTTCCACTGCTTATTATGGAATGGCCAAGCTCTCACAGCACCACAGATCCATGGTTAAGACAGATTCCTCTTATTGCCCAGTTCACAGCTGCTTTGCTAAGTCAGTCATCTCTGGGATCACCCTGCCCAAGAGACAAGCAATGCCTCTCAAGTACAGCTGGGGTTCGCCGGAGCTGTTACCTCTTGACACCTTATTAGTGCAGGTTGTGGTTTTTCTCACGCATGTCTCCAGCTCCTCAGAACAGGAGGTGGTTTGTGAGAAACTGCTTGGTAGAAGAGCAGCAGCAGAGCAAAGGCAAACAATGCAATGCCTAGGTCTACTTTAAAAACCACAACTAAATGGGAGAGAAGGCCCTTGCCTGCTCCCTAACTCAATTCCTCCATCTGTAGTTCCTGCACTGTGATCCTGCTAAGAACTCAGAAGTAATCACTAGAGCAGCTGCAAGAATAGGCCAAAACAGAGACTGAGCTCAGCTATTCTCTCCATCTATGTCCTCAGTGCTCCTTCACAGTCACCCATAAAGCGCTTCGGCTAGCAGAGAACATGGAAACTGGCAATGGAAGGCCAATGAGCAGGACCCTGGATTCTTGCTGTTCTGGTAACTTCCTCAGCTAAAAGCAAATCAACCCACCACCTTCACTCAAGCCTACAGCCAAGCACATCCCTCCACAGAACCCAGCCTGTAAACCCTCTGCTGTCTGGAAGCTTTGACAGAGACAGGAAAAGAACAGTCTCATCTTCATTAGATGCCCGATTCCAGTCGGAGAAGATTCTGTGCTGGTATTAAAGATGTCAACCTCCATGTGATTTGTTATAAGGGATCCTCGATGACAGTGTAGTGGGCAGAGGAGTCTGTTCCAGCAGAGTCCTGACACTGTGAGGGGCTGCTCTGCTGCTGTTTCTCAGGAAAATAGAGTGTTTTGTGAATCAGATCTTTGACAGCAGAAACGTCATTTCTTTCTACAGAAAAGAGAGAAACACAGTTGTTAGGGATTCTCAACAGGCAGTATGAAAGTCCTTCTTCCTCAAGAAGTACCTGGAACTCTAGTTCCCAGCAGACTACCTGCCAGCAGCCCTTCCTCTCTTTTTTCCTGTACATCCTTCACCCTTTCTGCACTCACCCACACCCAGTTGCTGCAGGAGATTTCCAAACTCTGGGTCACAATCCAGGATTTTCAAAAGGTTGGTGGACTCCATTCTCTCCAGCTGCACATCCCAGTAGATGTAGATCTTCTGATTGAAGCTGACATAAACCAGGCAGGGGCTGTTGCTTCCTCCTTTGCATGCATAGAGGCCTGCAGAAAGCAAAAGTGTGGAGATCTGACTACTTCCAAAAGGACAGAGAAAGCAAATAGGTAACTTCTCATGATGAGGTACCAAAGCTGTTAGCAGAAAGCAGCGAGTACCTGGGGCGAGGGGCACAGACAGGGACTTGGGTATATGAAGTCCCTTTGAGACAATCAAGAAAGTGTCTCAACTGTTATTAATGCATGGAGCTTGGGGATTTGCAAGCTGCTTCTTGCAGGTCTGAGAGAGGGGACTGAGCAAAGCCAAGGCTCAGGCTGGTTCCCTGGGGCTCCTTATCTCCACTTGAGAACAGCTTAGAAGTCTGCAAATTAAAAAAGCAGTGGGGAAGACACGAGACCACTGTAGCACTCCCAAAAAGGACAAGAAAAAAAACCCCAAAACCATCATAGACAAACCTCAGCACCACCTCCTCTCACCCCTTCTTTTCCCAGACGCCACCACAGGAAAGACTAGCTGGGCCTTCTGCAGTATACACACAGGGAAATTATTCCCCACTGCAGATGGACAAAGGATTCCGGGTCTCTCAGAGGGGAGTAGTAGCTTTGAGGAAGAAATGCTGTGAGGGCTGGCTTTGCAGTCAGGCTCCCCACCTGCACAGAATGCACTGACATTCTCATCTGCTTGAAATCTGGCAACAGTCCGATTGTGGTCGATGATGTACGTCTGACCATCCCACGCACACGCAATCACCTCCTCATGCCCATTGCCCTGTAGGAACCATAAGATCGCATATTAGCATGGACATCTACTATTCCCAGAGGCAGTCAAGAATCTTCCCTGCTTGTACAGAGACAGAACACTAATGTCTGAACAAGATGTCACTTTTGGACATCTTGTCCAGACATTTTACACTTGTCCAGTCTTTCTGCACTTGGAGACCATCTCTCTCTTCTCTATCGTAACCCTTATGTATCATAAGAGCTTGTAGACAATTGGGACATTAGCATTGTGCAAAACCATTCAACTTTGCAATAAAATAAAAGAGCACCTCTGGGATGAAAAAGTTTATAGCAGGATGCTGGGCTCACTAGGTCAAACAGGAAGACACAGCTCAACCTCTTGCAGGCGGACAGACTGAAATGAGTGCAGAATGCACCGGCACAGTCAGAGCACTCTGTGTGTCATCCTGAGATAATCCCAGCCTTTTTCAGCTGAGTCATACTCCCTCTGCCCTTCCTAAATTCATATACACAAAGCCATGTTGAGTTTTTGTCTTCATCCCTCCCAGCCCTATTCACAGACACTCACAGTAACATCCAGCTTCTCCAGAGCAAACAGCTGGTGATCAACCTGCACAGACCAGAGCAGCTTGTCTGCTCCCTCCATCAGTTTCAATGTCCCTGAAGGGAAAAAAAAAAAAATAAAGATTGTCTTGAAAATATTAAAAGGGACCAAGATGTTTGCTAAGACTGGGCCCTGCACACTCCTTCAATGCTTAGGGTCTGCAGGCAGAGGGCTGGGACCCATGGTACAGGCTGTGGTTGATAATAGGTAACACAGTTTCAGTTCTAGGAAGGACAGCAGTCCATTATCTTGTCATCAGTACATCAGTAACTGGAAACAGAGAGGAAAAATGGCAGCAGCCCTGCTCTAAGACAATAAGAAAACTGCCGAAAATGGACTGCCAAAGTACAGTACATCAACAGATCTCACATGAGACAGCGAGTAAACTAGAAGCTTCTCACCATGTCCCACAGATCAAGTGATTGCAGGACAGCATGTTGACAGGTATCAACTGAGAGCTGGCTGGCTAATAGCATGGGCATGGCCCCTTGGCTGCTAAAACCATACTGGACACTTACCTCACATAAAATTTTTCAATCATCCAGAGGTACTGTGATAGTACGGGGGGTGGGGTGGCCATGAGAGAGTGGAACATAAACATGAATCTATCCTCACAGTGCCCTCCAGCCTCGGTAAGGCTCGTGTGTGAACCATAGTGAGGCAGGAAGCCTTGCCAGATGCAGAAGCTTCAGAGTTCAGGCCCAAAGAATAATCAGAAATTCCCTAGCAGGTGGGCATCTGGCCCAAACAGGCCAGGCTGCCTATCTGGGAAGAGAGAAGCACGACATCTTGTCTCCACTCTGTTGGTGTTTGGACAGAAACCCTGCATTCAGCTCATTAGATTCAGTCCTATTGCAGCCTGTCCCATCACTTCTCAGTTAGGGGCACAGCAGAAGCCTCCAGGCCTGTGTGAGGTCAGCTCCTCTCTACCAATACTCAAGTTCCAGGATCCTTTTCCTTTACTGATTTTAGAAACAACCCAAGTCCCTTCAAGTACAAGGGCACATCTCTGCTGTGGTTTAGAGGCTCCTATCTACATGAATGGCACTGATGAATCATAGAATCAGGTTGGAAAAGACCTCTAAGATCATC